TTATTTTCATATTTGTGAATAAAATAATAGAGTAATGAAAGGATGGAATAATTATAAAAAATGGTAAAAATTAAAAAAGAAAATTGCGAGTAAATAGATTATGTGAGCCGTTAGAACATAGAAGACGTATTGTTACGTTTTAAGAAGAAAATAAATTCTTTCTTATATAACTTCATCCGATAAAAATCTAAAATATTACATCTGAAAGTCTGTTATATAATACGGTCATGGAGTATTACCTTACTATATGAATAAGAAAAATAATATTGTTATAAATAGGGAAACAAAAAATCGGATATAAAATAAGAGTACATTATTGTATATAATAAAATAATACTAATTAGTATTATATATAAAGATTTTTAAAGAGTTTTGTTTTTTATATGCATATTTGCGAATAAAATAATAGCGTAATGAAAGAAGGAAATAATTGTAAAAATTGGTAAGAATTAAAAAAAGGAAATCGCGAGGAATAAATTAACTGAGATGTTAAAATGTGTATTGTTACGTTATAAGAAGAATGACATGAAGATTTGTATTTATGATTTAGAGAATATTTCCACAAGATGTACCACTAATATAGTTAATAAAGAAGATTTTCAAATTTTGTAATTTATATGATATTCATGCTTTACAATAATAAAAAACATTATATCTCATTATATGGTGTATTCCCTTTATTATGCAATATAATGACATCAATATAAATTTATAATTTAAATACGAGCCGTGCAACGCACGGGTGTGATACTAGTATCTTTAAACCATACTCCCATCCATTCCTTTTTATATATAATTATTAGTCAAATGTTTGACAAGCATGAACACTTCTTTATATAATTTCTCTTTCCCAATTTAGCTAGGTGCTTTCTTATTAGTTTATTAGGACAATTTATCTCTACAAAAAAACTACTCCCTCCGTTCCATAAAACTTTTCCTCTTTCGTTTTTTTCCAATTCCTTAAAACACTTCCACTTTCTATTAAAAAACCACTTTTACCCCTACTTTTTTATACCATACATATCACATCATACTTTTTCACTAATAACCAAACTATCACATCTTACTTTTATCCATCACATTAGGGGCAAAATTGAAAAGTCAACCAAAATTACACTTTCCTTATTTTAGTCCAAAGTCAAAAGAGGAAGTGTTTAAAGGAACGGAGGGAGTATATTTCACATATCATTATGCGGGGTATTAGTTTGGCAAAAACTAATCATCATTGAGTAAAATTATAATGTTAAATTATCTTTTTTTAAAGAAAAGTATACATTCTAAAAAATATGTAGTCATAAAATTGAAATTTGGAGTCTGAATAATTAAAATGTAAATTTTTAACCGTAAAAAATATTAAACTTTAAAATAAAGGTAACAACCTTAATAATGTTGTATCTTAGTCAAAACATACGGAGTGTTTGTAGGGCAAATAGTTGTACCATATTTTTTTTCAAAAAAAAAACGTACCATTTTCTTTTTTTTATTCAAGTCCGTATTTAAGGGTAACTGAAAAGAGTAACAAAAAACGAAAGCGCGTCAGGACACAATTGTCCCCAACATTTTTTGTGTGCCTCGTACAAACAATGTCAATCATGTATACGGGAAGTTGACTCAGTAATGCGAAGTCAACTTACTTTCTAACTCTCTCTTATTCTCTCATTATTTGTTTATTGTAAATTTTTACTGTTAAAATTAATAAACTTTGGTAATTAATTGAATAAATTTGATATTAGATGTTGATACAAATATTATTTTATAAGACTTGTTTCATATGATATTTTCAAAATATTATTATATGTAATCAATAAATTATATAAATTTTATTTAATTGTTAGTCAAACATTAACAATGGTTGAACAACTAGTTAGGCCAAGGTGAATAAGCAATGGCCATAATGGAAAGCAATCGAGGACACATTTTGATAAAGAAAATAAAAAATGATACGAGTTTTCGGGCCAGCGCCCCTAATTTTTCAAAAAGCCAATGTCAAATGATAAACATTAAATAAAAAATTCATTTCAAGCATTTTTCGAATAATTAAAATGAAAAGGTAAAAAATATATAAATACACAATAGTCCCATTTAACTGCAACCCAAATAATTCAATATGAAATTCTATTTGATAAAGTACCTACAAGGTCCCTATATTTTTTCGAAAGTGTTTCCCAAGTCCCTAGATTATTTTAAGTGCTTACAAAGTCCCTATATTTTTTTTTAAAAGTGCATTGGTCTCTAAATTATTTTTAGCATTTCTATTCTTTTTAACTGGTCCGGGAGTGGTCAGTGCCTTTTTTCAGATCAAGTCTTTTAAAATTATTGTAAGAATTAACATTATATCATAAATTTTCAACAACTTCAGCGTGTTGCACAAACAATTTCCGTGCACTTGATCTGAAAATGCCACTAAATGGACTACTAAAGCGTCCGTTAGAAAGTATATTGACTCAGTAAGAACTAAAAATAATTCAGGAACATATGGAGCACTTTCAAAAATATATAAGGATCTAGTAAGCACTTAAAATAATGAATAAACTTCAGAAACACTTCAAAAAAAATATAGAAACTTTGTAAGGATTTACCTAATTCTATTCAAACAATTATTTGGTGTGGTCAATAATGCATTATTTTTACGTGATGTGGCACACAAGTTACGTGAATAACAACTTAATTCCTATAGTAGAGGTAGGTCAATAATGCATTATTATTATTATTACTCCAAATAAATTCACAAATAAATTTTTTGTGGAGTAGAGTGAGAAGAATGCATGGCTATCTTTTACGCGTTTCATTAGCATGAGATGACGGGAGGGCCATCAACTAACCATATATATATATATATATATATGTGTGTGTGTGTGTGTGTGTGTACGGTTATACTTATACTCCTTTTTGTGTAAATTTTTATGCTAAAATTCTTTGTACCATTTCCGGTAGGAAGTACTCCGTAACTTATTGGAGTATACGAAAACCATTTATTTCTTTTTTATTTTTTGAAGAAAACGAAAATGAATTTTGATAGAATAAGGTAAGTATTATGTTAAAAAATAATAATGAATTGTAAAATTAGAAAAATGTGGTCTCTCTTATAATAATTGTTTTCAAAATTTTATCTGAAAAAAGACCATTTTAAAAGATGTATGATAAAATTAAAAAATACCTTAAAAATACTATGTGAAAGAATTATTTGGGAGGAAATACTCTGTATTTCTCTCTTGTCTTTGCAATTTACAATGAGGACATATATATAGGATCTCAGAAGTTGAGACTCCTAATAAGTAAAGAAAAAGGAAAGAATCCCTATACAAGGAAAACTACCAAAACAATATATACACAAATATCTCCAAATATTCTACCAAATATTCTCTTTCCTTTAACACACCCCCTCAAGTTGGAGCATGTAGTAACGAAATGCCCAACTTGGGAAGAAGAAACTCCAAACGTGACTTTCCGAGTGCCTTTGTATGTATGTCTGCAAGTTGATGCGTAGTAGGCACATGAAGTGTACGAATCTCTCCTCGCAAGAGCTCATCACGAACGAAGTGACAATCAATCTCAATGTGCTTCGTGCGTTCGTGGAAAACCGGATTAGCAGCAATGTGAAGTGCTGCCGTGCAGTCACACCGGACCATCATGGGGTCCTTATGCTCAACCCCTAAACACCGCAAAACATTCTTCAACCACTTCAACTCACATGTAAGGACAGCCAAAGCTCTATACTTTGCTTCAGCAGACGAGCGAGCCACCGTCGACTGCTTCTTTGTTTTCCATGAGACAGGCGAGTCTCCAAGCTGCACAAACCACCCTATCAATGACCGCCTCGTCAAAGGACATGCTGCCCAGTCCGAATCACACCATCCTGTGAGTTGAAGACTACTCTCTGCTGACAGAAAAATGCCCTGACGTGGACATCCTTTCAAATAACGAACGACTCTAAGGGCCGCAGACCACTGATCCTCCCTTGGTTCCTTCAAAAACTGTGCTAAAGTGTGGACGGCGTAAGAAAGTTCCGGTCGTGTAACGGAGAGATACCATGAAAGAATTATTTGAGAGGAAAATTCTCTGTATTTCTCTCTTGTCTTTGCAATTTACAATGAGGACATATATATAGGACCTCACAAGTTGAGACTCCTAATAAGTAAAGGAAAAGGAAAAGGAAAGAATCCCTATACAAGGAAAACTACCAAAACAATATGTACACAAATATCTCCAAATATTCTACCAAATATTCTCTTTCCTTTAACACTATGCCAACACTTTTTTTTAAAAACTTAACCGGTTTTTATCACTAATCTCACCATTATTTAAATTTTCAGAAAAATAAAATTAAGAAGATTGTGATTTGATTCTCTTACAAGGCCAAAATTAGAAGTTTGAAGACTGAACTAGTTATTTTTTTACAACAATATATTACTACGGGCCCCCTTTAGAAATGCACCATATATAGGGCCACCCCCTCAGCCTACCTCAGGGCCAGCCTTGCTTAGGTCATGTTCTCTTCACCTAATCTGAATATTATTGGAATAAGATCTGATCTATTCGAATTTTATGTGATCAGAATATAATTATATTTAATAAGAAAAAGTAATAAGTAATAAGAATAAGTTGAAGAGAATATGGCATAGATATATGCAAAATTTTACCACAATTAATACTATACATGTTAATATATATTAATAATTTTAATAAACACATTAATATAGACGTTTAATTTCAATTAATGAGTGAAATGTACTTAAATTTACCTAATTCATTTGCTTCTCACAGAATTTTAAAAAAATGTTTAAAAATTGAAAATATATAGCTACCATTTATTTAGATATGAGAGAAATCTTGTGAGACACATATATAAAGTACGAGCATTTATTATTAAAATATAAAATAAAAAATATTTTATAAAACATTTAAAAAGAAAAAAAATGAGTGCATGTAAGGCAACCAAACTCATCACATGGAAGGGTTTCCTCCTATATATTATTAACACTGAGCTAATCAGTGTAAGTAACCTTATCCCCATGCAGGCCCCATGCACCTCTCACATCACTATCCCTTCCCCTATATAAATACCACACCCTCACATGGTAAGATTCCACTTCAATTCATTCATCTATTATTCTAGCTACCAAATAGTATCACTTGTAGAAACAATAACAAATAGCCCTTAGATTCTTAACCCTCAAGAGAGAACAAAAGAAGACAATGGGAAAGTTGTTGTCATCATCATCATCATCACTATCATCACCTAGGGCAAACAATGGGAAACCAAAGAAAGGAACTAAGCTTAGGGTAGTGATGCAAAAGCTCCAGAGGAGCTTTCTGCTGGTCGGGAAGATGAGGTCATCGTCATCTTCCTCAGCCATACGCCGCTTCGATGAGTTGGACAACTCTATCGGACGCAATGGCAGCGTCCCAGAGGACGTGAAGGAAGGGCATTTCGCAGTAATGGCAGTGGATGAGGAGGATGAGGAGGAGATGAAGCGGTTCGTGGTCCCACTGGCTTGTCTGGCGCACCCTTCTTTTGTTAAGCTGTTGGAACGAGCCGCGGAGGAGTATGGGTTCGAGCGTGACGGGGCTATAATGGTTCCTTGTAAGCCAAGCGAGCTCGAAAGGATTCTTGCAGAGCAATGGGTTGAGCAGCTCTTGGCTTTAGAAGACATTAATTAATTAATTAATTAATGCAATGCATGCATGCTATTTTTATATATTACTCTCTTTGTCCACTTTTTATGGATCATTATGATTTATTTTTTGATACATTAATGTTTGAATGAATGTGGACGTACGTCATGTCTTCATTCACTCGTTTTTTAATGTATCTAGAAAATCATAATGACCAGTTAAAACGATGAGAGTAATTTGTTTCATTTTTTCTTTGTGTACCGTTAATTTGTGTCGGTCATTTTATTTGTAGGGTTTGCTAACCATTCAATTTTTACTGTCTTTTGAATAAATTTTATTTAATCAAGCACTGGTTTTTGTACTTCGTAATGCCGAGTACTCCGTAGAGTATTTAATTTTTGTCCGGTTTGCATTTGTTTGGCAGAAGATGTAATTGGGAGCATACTTCTCATCAGTGGATCAATTCTTTAAAATAATGGAGTGCCTATATTTCTTTTAATTGTACACCTATTTCTTTTGTCGCGGTTCAATTGTTCATTTTTTTAAATTTTTGTTTATATCAATTTAGTTATTCACTTTTCATATTCAACAAAAGATTATAGGAAGTACTCCCTCCGTCCCATAAAGATAGGGACATTTTGACTAAAGTAAAAAATTAAGGGAGGAACAATTTTGTATTGACTTTCCAAAAATACCTTTGTGATGGGTAAAAGTATGATGTAATGTGTAGATTATTAGGAAAAAGGTATGATGTTATAAGTAGGGTTTGAAAAAGTAAGAGGTAAAAATGGTTTTTTAATAGAAATGGAAAGGAGATTGTAGGACACAATTTTTTTGAAACGGAAAGGACTTTATAGGACGGAGGTAGTAATAAATTGTTTAAAATATTTTAAAAATATGGCATATATATACACTGTGGTACGTCTAGGAATAATATAACTGGTGGAACAATTAGAGTACATGTCTAATAAAGTTAATATATAGTGAAGAAAAATTAACTAGGGAGTTTTTAAAACCTACATTAGTAATCCCTCCGTCTAGGGTTGTAAATGAATCGAATATTTTTTGTTCGATTCGTGATTCGTATTCGAGTAAAGTGATTCGTATTCGTTTTTTCCAAATCCGAATACGAATATGAATTTGAATAAATATTCGAACCCTTAACGAATACGAATTCGAATTTAAGTATATTTGATTCGTGAGTTTGACGAATATATTCGGTACATATATATACATAGAAAAAATAAAGCCCAAGAAGTCCATAGTCCAAGTTGACCAGCCCAAATTGAAATCAAGTAATATTTCTCTCCCTTAGACCTAAGTCACCTAACCGCTGCCTCACTTGCTCACTTGTGTGCCGCTGAATCTTCCGATGATTTTCATCGATTGAAACATTTAAAATTTTAACGGTGCAGATTAATTTGAAAACGCTAACGCTAAACGCTGCCTGTAGATAGCCTTTTGAAAACGCTAACGCTAATATCTAGAGTTATTCCCAAACATGACCCTTCTCTCTATCCATTTCCGTCTCCCTCTCAAAGTAGTCACCACTCACCACGCCTCTTGCACAATTTGCAAGTCGCAACTCTCCAACCACTCACCAGTCACCACCCCGACACTTCGACAATTTCAGCAATTACAAGCTACAAGGTAATTTTATTTTGCTTTTCTTGTGTTGGTGAAATTTCTCTCCTTGTTTGTTTTTCGGCAATTAATTGTTTGCTTTTCTTGTGTTTTTGTGTAATTACATTGTGTTTGTGTAATTGCTTTTCGGCAATTTTTTTTTGTTTTTGAATGGTGAAATTTCTCTCCTTGTTTTGCTTTTCTTGTGTTTGTAGGATATGGAAGAAGGTGCACCATTCCTTGATTTCAGTTATGAAGAAGTTCACAATGACGATGAGGTAAAAATTTAAAAAAATCAAAGATTTATTTACATTACTTTTACCTATTTCATTTTAATTATCAAATCTCACAAAGTTTACTATGTGTGGCGATTGAAAATTTTGTTCCAAATGGATAGTGAATTTTTTGTTTGCTAATGGATAATTGGATAGTGAAACTTTTGTTCTCCATATTCTTGTCACAATTTGTAATAAAAATTATTAATTACAGGGTCAAAGCAATGTAAATCCTACATCTCAAGATGAAAATGCTACTGTAGAAAATAATGTTACTGTTGATTTAGAGCCGGAAGAGAGTAATGTTGAAAATCAAGATAATGCACCAAAGTTTCAGAAAAAGAAAAGACAAAAGACATCAATAGTTCATCAAGATTTTGAAGATGTGGTTTTAACGAATGGGATTAAGAAGCACAAATGTCTTCATTGTAAGAGGATGTATGCTATGATTCCCGGTGGTACAACGTCGCATCTTTTAAATCACTCTAAGAGCTGTGAAGCCAAGAAACTTTATGAGAGGAAACAACAAACTTTGCAATTTCAGCCATCAAAATCCAAATTTGAGATGAGTCCTTTGTCGAATGGTAAATATGACCATTTGAAGCAAAGAGAAGCTATTGCCCAGTGGGTTCTCATGACAGAGCAACCCTTTAATGTTGTGGAAACTGATGGTTTCACTTTCATATTTAAGGTTATTCTTCCACTTTAATAGTGTGTACATCAAAAAGGTCCGAGATGAATTGTATGAATTATTTTTTGAGTATGTTGCGAGTGAGCAAGCAAGGTCTCAAAGAAGTAAGTCTGTCTCTTTAATTAAACATCCTCAAAAAGCTTCTTCATGCTCAACATCTAGAGAGCAAATACTTTCAACTGCTTTATCGATGTTTGATGACTACTTGAACATTGTCCAAGATGAGAGCCCTCTAAAATCAGAATTAGATGTTTATTTGGAAGAAGGTGTTTTTAGATGCCAAGAAGAGAATGACACGTCTGCTTTCGATGCTTTGGCTTGGTGGAAATCTCAAGAGTTGAAATTTGGTATTTTGTCAAAGTTGGCAAGAGATGTTTTGGCAATACCTATCAGCACCGTTGCATCTGAGTCTACATTTAGTGCGGGTACTCGTGTTTTAGATCCATATCGTGCTAATTTATCTCCTGATATGGTTGAACTTCTAATTTGCGGAGGTGATTGGATTCGTCAATTACATGGCATCAAGAAAGAGATGAAGACATATGTACGTTTATGTTCATTATTGAATACCATTTTGTGTAATTATTTGTATTTTTACATTGGTTCTTAATAATTTATTTGATGCAGGAAGAGGAGAAACCCATTGAAGTTATGTTGAAGATTTAATGCTTGGCATAATCATATGTAAGTGTTGTGTTTAAAATTTAAAAAGTAGTTACTGATACTAACCTTTTACTCTCTTCTATGCCAAGCAAATGGTTCCAGTGAGTAGTGACAAAGTAATTTGCTTTAAAAATATATTGAAGAATGAATAATTTCAATGAATAATTACGGAGGACTAAGCCTCGTATATATGGTACAAGGGAATCCTAACTACGGAAGGAATCCTATACAAGGCAACTACCATATTAACAATGATTACAACATTAATATTAAATATATATATACTATATTTAACATGCGTCCAACTACGTGACTGGTGATGGTCGAACGCCAAGACTGTGTCTGAACTCGGAAAATATAAGAGACGGGAGCCCTTTGGTGAAAATGTCAGCATACTGAGAAGAGGAGGAAACATGCAGAACTCGGACATGACCAAGGGCAACTTTGTCTCTGACAAAATGAATGTCAACCTCAACATGTTTGGTGCGTTGATGCTGGACGGGATTGGACGAAAGATATACAGCACTAACATTGTCACAGAAAACCAGTGTAGCACGTCGGAGAGGTTGATGAAGCTCAAGAAGAAGATTTCTGACCCAGCTAGTCTCTGCTACTGCATTTGCCACGGCGCGGTATTCTGCTTCAGCACTGGAACGAGAGGTGGTGGCCTGTCTCTTGGAGGACCAGGAGATGAGATTGTCCCCAAGGAAAACACAATAACCAGATGTGGAGCGACGGGTGTCAGGGCATCCTGCCCAATCAGCATCTGAATATGCCTGTAAGGAATCGGTGCCGGTGCGGTGGAGAGTGATGCCATGGGTGGCCGTGCCGTGAATGTAGCGTAGGACCCTCTTCATAGCCGTGAGATGAGAGCTGCGGGGGGCATGGAGATGGAGACAGAGCTGCTGTACGGCATATGTGAGATCGGGGCGGGTGAATGTCAGATACTGTAATGCACCAACAATGGATCTGTAGATGGTGGGATCCGGAAGGGGTGTGCCGGACGTGGCTCACAGCTTCGCCTTGGTGTCAACTGGCATGGAGATAGGCTTGCAGTGAAGCATGTCAGCCCGCTCAAGGATCTCGTGTGCGAACTGTGTCTGATGAAGAAAAAGTCCCCCAGTCGTGCGCTGAACATTAATGCCCAGGAAGAAATTGAGATCCCCCATATCTGTCATGGCAAATTCCCCTTTAAGCTTTTGCGTCAGGCATGTGAGGAGAGCGGTGGAGGAGGCTGTGAGAACAATGTCATCCACATACAGAAGGAGGTAGGCCATGTCAGCTCCCTGGGAGTAAACAAAGAGGGATGTGTCGCTCTTGCAGCCACGGAACCCCAAGGTGAGAAGAAAACCTGCAAAGCGCTGGTACCAAGAGCGGGGGGCTTGCTTGAGGCCATATAGGGCCTTCTTCAACCTGCAAACATAATTCGGCCGGGCTGGATCCTGAAAACCTGAGGGCTGGCTGGCATAGACTGTCTCGTGAAGTGTGCCATTCAGGAAAGCGTTCTTGACATCGAGCTGATGAATGGACCATCCCCGGCTAAGTGCAAGAGTGAGAACAACACGTACCGTGGCAGGTTTGACAACCAGACTGAAAGTCTCGTCGTAGTCGATACCAAAGCGCTGATTAAATCCACGAACCACCCAACGAGCTTTGTACCTGGACAGTTCACCTGTAGGGCCAAATTTGTGGCGAAAAAGCCACTTACCGGTGATAATATTTTGGGAAGGGGAGGGGGGTACTAGTTCCCATGTTTCATTTTTAATCAAAGCATTAAATTCATCACACATAGCATTGTACCAGTTTTGGTCCTTGAGTGCACTACGGTAGGTGGGTGGGAGTGGGGAGATTTGGGCCATGGAGTTAAGGTTGAGGATGTGTTTGGGTTTGGATATGCCGACTTTGGACCGGGTTACCATGGGGTGGGTAGGGGGCTGGCTGGGCCGTGGGAGGGGAGGGTTAT